AGAGAGGCGTACCCAAATACTTTAATGGCAGAATTTTCTTATTCAAATCAAATTTTCTTTCAATACTATTAATACAATTAGGGGAAATAAATTTAACATGAATAAAATAACTCTTAGAGGAGTTAAAAATTAAACCACTAGCATGATGAAATGAACTAAAAATTTCGAAGAGAATATACAATATTTTAATAGAACCATTAGAGAACATAATGAAATCATCCGCTAAGCTCAAATGTGTGATGGGAAAACCACCACCCATTCTATATTGGAAAGTAGGGTGAATCCTAAAAAGATTGTTAATACCATGAGATAAGAATTCCACAGCAACAATAAATAGAGTAGGATATAGAGGATCTCCTTGTCTTAAACCATGAAAGGATTTGAAAAATCCATGGGACTTACCATTAATAATAATAGAGAAATAATATAACTTAATACTATTTTTAATAATTTTAATGAATTACAAATTGAAATCAAACAGCCATAAAATGGTATAAAAAATTCCAAATTGAGGTTATAATAAGATTTAGTGATGTCAACTTTGAAAATTATATTACCACCAACAACATTAACCTGTAAATCATGCACTAATTCTTGAGCAAGTAAAACATTGTCAAATATATACCTCTCACAAAACCAGTTTGTTTTAAGGAAATAATATTAGGAAGAACTAAAGCAAGCCTCCCTAGCATAATTTTAGCAATAGGTTTATTAAAAAATGTACATAAACTAATAAGATGATAATTATTCCAAAAATTATTGTTATTAGATTTAGGAATTAAAGCTATGGAAATAGTAGTAATAAATTTAGGAATAGGATTACCCCTAAAAAAATCCACTGCAGCATTAACAAGATCCTTCTTAATGATGTCCCAGGACTTATGAAAAAATTTGTTAGTGAAACCGTTAGGGCCAACAAAAGAATCAGAGTTTATATCTTTCAAAATACACCAAATTTCCTCTTCAAAAGGAATGTTAGTCAACATCAAATTATCTTCCTCAATGATAAGAGAAGGCATAAAAGAGAAATTAGTATTAAAATCATGAATAAAGTTGGAGTTGAATGCTTTATTAAAATATTCAATGTCGGATGTAAAAATCAAATCAGGATTATCAATAACATTGCCATTAGATGAAGTGATCTTATGAATCTGCCTACTAACTTTATTATGATTAGCAATGTTATGAAAATAAGTAGTATTGCGGTCACCCTCAACAAGGAGGAGGCCTTTTGTCTCCAATAAGCCTCCTTTTTTTCCTAAAGCTTGAACAAAGTAGTATTCTTGGCTTCATTAAGAATAGACAAATTTTCCAAAGAAGAAATTTGCAGGTAAGCCATATCAGCATTATCCACATCTTGTTCAGCATGCAAGATACTAGAATATATGTTTTTAAAGATACATTTATTCCACCATCGACATTTTTGCTTAAGCATTTTAAGTTTAAACCAAAGCCTAGTCATACCATAAACATTATCAGAAGGAAAAAGAGTAGCATCCCAATTACTTTGCATAGTTTCTAAGAAATTATCATCAAGAAGTCACAAGTTTTGGAATCTGAAAGGTTGAAAAGTATTACTACTAACCCTATTAATACTTAATAATAAAGGGGAATGATCAGATAAAGTACGAGTTAGATGCTCAATGTGAGTATTAAGAAAAAGATGAAATCCAATAGTTATTAAAAAGGATGCGATCTAACCTTTGCCATATAGTACCCTTGTTCCAAGTAAAACAGTTTCCAGAAAAACCAATGTCATGCAAATTACTGTTCATAATCATATCATTGAAATCCTCCATAACATGAAAATTAGGAAACTTACCTCCAACTCTTTCAGCAACATTAATAATACAGTTAAAATCCCCACCAAAAAACTAAGGGGCATTTACCGACAAGGAAAAATAAAAAAATTGATTCCAAACAACTTTTCTCCTTAATCTAGAACATAAGGCATAAACAAAGAAAGCATAGGAGAAAACTTGATTGAATGTAATATTATTATGAATCAATTGAGGAAAATCCATAATAACATCTACATTAAGAAATTGTTTCCATAAAATCCAAATTTTATTAGTAATGTTGCCAAAAGCAAAATCAAAACCCAATTTAATACGAATAGTGTTCAAATTACTAGCAACAATCAAAAGCTCAATAAAAGCAAGAAGGTGAATATCATAAATCCTATAAAGATTCTTAATTTTATCCTTAGATAGAGAACCACCCACACCCTAATATTCCACACAAGAGCTTTAACCATTAATAGTTTTGTTAGAAGCTATAGTTGAAAGTTCATTAGGGATGTTAAGCCCTTAAGATCTGGCCCAAGGCTAACCAAGAGGGGGGTGAATTGGTATTTTAAAAAATCTTTCTTATAATCAAAGAACAAAACTTAAAACCAAAATCACTACAGAAATCAAAGTGCGAAAAAATAAATGTCGAAATCAAAACAAAGAAAGATCACACAAGATTTATAGTGGTTCGGTCAACTTGACCTATGTCCACTCCCCAGAGTCGCCCTCCGAGTATTGCACTACAAAAGTAACTCTCCTTTTTCTCCCACAACAAGGCAGAAAAGCCCTCACAAAAAGACCTTTATGCCAACCCCGGCGAGATAGAGAACCCAACTCCTTTTGGTTCCTCCTGAAGCAGACAGACAACCAACTCCTTTTGTTTCCTCCTAAAGCAGGTAGAGAACCTCAACTCCTTTTGATTCCTCTTGAAGTAGGCAGAGAACCTCGACTCCTTTTGCTTTCTCCTGAAGTAGGCAGAGAACCTCAATAAATTGTTGTAGCTTACCTCCCTTGAACCCCCTAGGACGAAGGACGAAACCTTGAGAAGACGCCTTGGAACCTTGCTTCGAGCAACCTTTATGAATCCCTCTCACAAACTCCCCCTCACAAGTTCCTCCATCTCTCTCCCTCTCCTCTTGGCTCTCTCAGGTCAAGACAGCAGCTAAAGGTCTCTTTGCATGAGAAAATTTGGGTCCTTTAAATAGAATTTTAAGAACCAACATTATCGTCCAGAATGATAGGAATATCGTCTTGGCCGATCAGTACAAAGTAAGCTCAATCAACTAGGACGATTTGGGACGATCAGAAGAAAATTGGTTACATCGTCTAGGCCAATACAATATCGTCCTGGATGATTAGTTCAAATCCGAGTACAATCGTCCTGAACATCGCTCAGAATAGATGCTGGCCGATGTCAATCATCTAGGACATTGTCCCGGCCGATCCTGCGATCGGCCCGGCCGATGTGATCATATCAATCAGCCTTAATTGCTTTTCATAATTACCAAATTAATTTAGAAATAATTGTGCTACATCGTCCAGACCGATATTGAGATCGTCCTTGCCGATGTAATAAAATAGTTAGAGAAGAAAAAACTCATCCAGATATTAGAGAAGAAAAAATATTAGTTGTGAGTATATCTTCCAGATATTAGAGAAGAAAAAACTCACTCTCTAATATAGAGAAGAACACATCACAAAATAGAATAAAATATCATATGAGAGATGCATTGATAGGATAACAAAAAATCTTGAAGTAACATAAAGGCTTTGACTATTATAATATAAAATAGATTACTGTAGCAAGGTAGAAATTATCTCAATTGCAAAATCCAGTTCTTAATTTGAGATAGTCTTTTTGTTTAGAAAAGAAAATTTCACCACCAAAATAGGTTAGAGAAAGAGACAAAATAAACGGTATTTTTACCCTTTAGTAGATTAAGAGGTATAAAACATTGACTACAAATTTTTCAAAAAGAAAAAAATAAGGCATACGATATCAATTCAGCGATGATCCAAAAACAACCGTGCTTAATCAACAAAAGTAAAAATGACAAAAAAAAATAGAGAAATAAACCAACTAAATAAAAAGGAAAAGATAACCAAGTACACAGCCAATCCTAGAGAGAGAACGTCTGGTTTCCTAGAGAGAGAAAGGTCCGTCTTCGTGTTCGAATTTTTGCTTCCCGCGATTTTCCACGGCCAGTGGAGTCGTCGCCGGAGGATCATCGGCATTTCTCTACCGATGTCATGAACGCTCCGCGACCCCCTGGTTCTCTTCGTTTCGGTGGTAGAGGAAGGAATGGTGTGGCTATCAAAGAAGGGCTGAGACCTTTAAATCGTCCTATTATGGTGGATGGAAAGAGAAAGAAGGTGATGATGGAAGGCATTGTAGGCCAGATTAATGAAGATTTAAAGAAGAATGAATGTACGGTTTTTTGGCTAATCTTGATTCTTTGTCGACGGATGATGTCATCCTAAAGATGAAAGGTTTTTCTGGGGTGAATAAGGATCACCTTGTGTTTAATGATTTGAAGAATATGGAAATTTTGAAGGCTAATGATATTAATGGAGTTGGGATTGTTTTTGGAAAAGATGTTATGAATGATGAAATCTTGATGTCCAATTTAGACGTTAACAGTAGACAGGATGGCAGCGGTGAGGTTGTTGGAGCATGGGCGAAGCCAAAACACATCAATATTGCTTTTAATAGAGAGCAAATTGAGTTATCTAAAGACGGAATTGTTGTTAGGCTTAATCCAGAATCGGTAGCAAAAAATTCTGAAGTGTTGAAGCACTCGTTAGTGATTAAAGCCCTTGGTAGCAATGTGCCTTTCTCAGTCTGCAGTATTGAGCTGAGAAGGCAATGGAGTAAGTTTGGTGGATTCCACATGACATCAATTGGCATGAATTGGATTCTTTGTTACTTCAAGTCGGATGAGGCGGTGGAAGAGATTCTGAACGGTGGGCTGTGGTATGTCAGTGGTTACATTGTTGGCATAGACAGATGGTCACCTGCATTTGATCCGTATTCTTTTAAAAGGATTTCAACTCCAGTTTGGATCAGACTCACATACTTGCCCTTATACTACTGGGATGAGGATAATCTAGTAAGGATTACATCTTGGTTTGGCACACCAATGTATCTAAACGGGAATACATTCAAGTGGGGGGAAACGTGAATTCACCCGCATATGTGTCAAGATTGACATGGAGAAAAAACTCCCTAATGGAGTATGGATAGATGGATTAGCTGGGAGATTATTTCAACGGGTGGAATATGAGAAGATTAATCTGTTGTGTTACAGTTGTGGTCGAGCAGGGCATGAGGTGAATGAATGTCTTGAGAATGTAGCTCAGTGTATTAAAGACCAAATGTTGAGAAAACCAGTTACTGAAACAGGGGAAGTAAAACAAGTGGTGGCCGAAGCCAAATCTTCTGTGATTAATTCCGAGTATGGCCCTTGGATACATGTTCAATTTAAGAACAGACATTTTACTAAAGGAGTAACTGCTGTTAAAGCAAGGAATGGTATAAATGGGGTCAGGACGGACAACAGGGGAAATATGAACCAAGTGAATATTATGCAGAAGCAAGCACTAAGTGAGAAGGGAAATGTTGATGTTGTGGAGAAATTTGTATCAGCTCCAGAATCTAGTTCAGATAAAGATAAAGTTTATGAAGGCATACGACCAGGTATTTCTCTAAGTAACAAATATGATGCTTTGCTTGAAGACAATGAAGAAGATTCTTTGGAAAAGCATGGAAAGTATGATAAAACGAAGGAATTGGCTATGGAAATAGATGATACAGGTGCTGTGAATAATGGCACATCTTGCTTAAGTGGTTCTACTAAAGTTAAAGTTGCCAAAGAGCTGAAATCTTTGGGGGCATTAGATCCAGATTACATGAAGAAGAAGAGGGATGAAAGGCTGAATTCCACAAATGGGGAGGGATCCCCGGCACTAATATAATGTCTTCTTTATTATTTTGGAATTGCAGAGGGGATAGGAAGAAAGAGGCCGCTCTGTATTTGAAAGAGGTTGTTAGAGATCAAGACGTTTTCTTTATTGGGCTGATGGAGACCAAGATGACAAGCATCGATAAAAAGGATGTTGATGGCCTTATTGGGAAGGACTGGAGTATTTCTACTTTCCCGCTGTTGGTCTTTCAGAGGGTATTCCAGTGCTTTGGAATAAGAAGATTGTGATGTTTGTGATCAAAGAGACTTCTTCATAAATGATAGGTGGGGATCTCCTTATCCCTAACTTGAGATTGTGGAAGGTTGTCACTGTATATGGAAGCAGATGTTGTAAGGAGAGGGAGAACCTTTGGATCCAGCTTGGAAGTTGTATGGAGAATTCTACTCCTTCTATTATTGGTGGGGATTTCAATTGTGTTTTGAACAAAGAAGAGAAGAGAGGTGGTAAGAGGTTCCTTTTTTCTAAAGGACCTAGAGATATGAAATGTTTTATGACGAATTTTGATTTCCATTATGTGGGTAACATTGGACCAAGGTTTACTTGGTGCAATAACAAAGAAGGAGCCTCCCAGATTTGGGAAAGGCTGGATAGGTGTATTTTGAACTCGGCTACACTTCAGAAGATTCCTATAGTCGTTACTAGACATCTAGCTAGAGTGGATTCGGATCATAGTCCTATTGCCTTCAAGATTGATGAAAAGGTGTGTATCAAATCAAAAACCATCAAATTTGAGGATACTTGGAGATCTTATCCAGTTGCTAAAAGTATTGTGTACCATTCTTGGAAGAAAAAGGACTTTGGAGATGAAGGTATGATTTTACTAAGGAAGATTAGTAGAACTTTAAAAGAACTATTTTTTTGGAGTAAAAATAAGTGCAAAGATTTGAACAAGCTGAAGGAAGAACTGAAAAAGGAGATTTTGGATCTCCAAAACAAAGAAGCCGTGGGAATTGATGTGTCAGTTGATGATCTTCTTTTACTCAGAAGCAAAATCCATGAACTTAATGTGACCTTGAGAAGATTGTCCACTTGGTGGAATCAAAGGGCAAAAGCAAGATGGCATGAAGAAGGAGACGTTAACTCAAAATTGTTTCATAATTTTGCTATGGCTAGAAGAAATGGCAATAGATGAATCAAGTTAAAGATTTGAATAATAAGATTCAAGTTGAAGAAGATAAAATTGAGGAGATTTTTATTCATTACTTTGAAGCAAAATGGAAGGCTAGAGATTGTGAATTATCGGGTTGGCCAGAGATTTTTGAGAACCAGAAACTGAATACAGAAGAGTTTACTGCTCTTAATAGTGAATTTTTGATGAATGAATTACAGCAGTCGGTCTTTCAGCAAGGGAGTAATAGATCACTAGGTATGGATGGTCTCACTTCCTCTTTTTACAAATGTTATTGGGATATTGTTTGGGAAGATCTTTGGAATGTTATTATATGCTTTCTAGTTTCTGGCTGAATGAGAGCAGATTGGAAGGATACTCTCATAGTTCTGATTGCTAAGGTGACGAACCCTTTAATTCCATCCAATTACAGGCCTATTAGTCTATGCCAGACTAATTACAAGATTGCGGTTACTATTCTAGTTAATTGATTGAAGACTTGTATTTCCAAAATGATTTCTGAAGATCAGATGGCCTTCATACCAGGAAGATCAATTTCAGAGCATTGTCTTCTGGCTCAGGACACCTTCCACAAGTTCAAAATCTCCAAAAATAAGAAGGGGTTGATGGCTTTGAAGTTGAACATGGAGCAAGCATACGATAGCATGGGATGGCCAACTCTTGGCCAAATTCTGAAATGGTATGGCTTTCCTTATATATATTCTAACCTTATTATGGAATGTGTTGTAGATGTGAAATTTTCCATTATTATTAATGGAAAGAATTCCAAGTGGATCAAAGCTCATAGTGGATTCCGTCAAGGATGTACACTCTCCCCTTACCTTTACATCATGTGTTCTCAATTGATGTCCAACTCTCTTGAGCAAAGGGGTCAAAATCTTGGCATACAACTCTCTCCTAGAGGGCCAAAGATCACGAATCTTCTTTATGTAGATGATGTACTAATCTTCTCATATGTCTCCATGGCTTTAGCTAAAGTTTTGAAGGGTATTGTTGAAGACTTTTGCAAATGGACGGGGCAAAGGATGAATGTCAATAAATCACAAATTATTTTCGGCCAGATTGTCAGATACCCCATGAAGAAGAAGATTGCTCAAGTTTTTGGCTTCAAAGTGGTGAAGGAGATGAACTATCTTGGGTTAAAGATTTCTCTTGACAGGTTGAAGGTGGCTGACTTTCAAGATCTTTTGAGTAATGTTATGGATAGATTCAATGCTTGGGGTAAGAAGTCTTTATCCATGGGTGGTAAGATTACTCTTATTACAAGTTCTCTTTTGTCTATGCCAAACTTTTTAATTACACATTCTTTGATTCCAAAAAGAGTGTTGTATGCTTTGGAAAAGCTTTGTAGAAGTTTCATTTGGCATAAACTCGATGGAAGCCGTAGTATACATTATGTTGATTGGGATGATTTGTGCAAATCGAGAAGTATGGGTGGGCTAGGTTTGCAATCCCCTATTATGAAAGCTGGCTCATTGAGATCAAAATTGGCATGGAACTTTATGTAGAAGCCGGAAACCTTGTTCCATAGATCAATCAAAGCTAAGTATGGGAAGGATTTAATGAATGATACACATAAGAAAGCTACTTCAAAGGCTTGGCAAATCTTGTTAGATGGAGGAAGACACCTTAAAAATATTACCAGATGGAAAGTAGGCAATGGTGAGGAGATTAATGTCCTCAATGATATTTGGATTTTGGATAGGTGTATAAATCGGTGGCCCACATTTGCTGATAGTGATTCTTTGGAGGGGATGTATGTTCAGCAGCTGATATTGGATGATGGCCACTGGAATTTTTACATGCTTCAGGAAGTCTTTCATCCATATCTTATTGGTTTGATTAATCAAATTCAGATTGATCCTTGTATGGAGGATCGGGTGGAGCTGCAGAGCTTATGTTCGGGTAAGACAGTTTCTGCCCTGTCTTATGAGCATGTGATGAAGTGCAGATTCAGTTTAAATGAAGATGAATACTGCAAGTGGCTAAATAAAATCAAACTTAACAAGAAGGTGGAGATGTTCTGGTGGAGACTTGGAAAATCTACTATTCCTACCAATCTTTTTCTCAGAAACTGTATGATTTAGTTAACTGATACTTGTGCTAGAGGTTACCAAGTAGTGGAAAGCTATGAACATGTTATGGTTCAATGTAAGTATTTGGTTGAAATCATAATGCAGTTGATGGAGTGGGGTATTCACATTCCTGTGTTCCATTCTTTGGACCATTGTTTAAAGGAATTAAGGAGACTAACAGCTCGACATCTTGGCACTGTGAAAATTTACTGCACCATTGTCTACTTCTCTTAGAAAAATAGGAACGATGTTAAGCATGGTAAAGCTGCGCTACCTTGTTCTGTGGTAGCAGCAAACGTTCTTTCCTTAGCTATCACCAAATCAAGTCCTCATCTTTCTAACTGGGGTACTAATCTCCTTAGGGAGTCTCAAAACACTTGGTGCCCTCCACCGAAAGATTGGATGAAGATTAATGTTGACGCTTCCTTACTTAGCTTATACCTTGTTGGAATCGGTGGTGTTTTCAGGGATCACAAAGGTAGATTCATCCTTGCATTTGGGAAGAACAAAGTTCATTGGGATATTGCTCATCTTGAGCTAGAGTTTGCACTCTCGGTGAGGGATTATGTTAGAAGCTGGATGCTTGAATACAAAGGGGTGATCGTGGAGAGTGATAACATCAATGTTATTACTTGCCTTCAAAATTTTTTAAAGAAGAATAAGTGGCTTATAGATAATAGTTCGGCCAAGGATTTCTTTTTTTTAAATGACTTTAATAAAGTTGTTTTTCAACATGCCTATAGAAGTTGTAATAAAGTAGCTAATTTGTGTGCTACTTTGGCATTAGATAGTAGTTTTTTCTTTGATAGTTTTTCCTTTCATAACATTCCTTCCTTGTTGTTAAATTTAATCAAGGAGGAGTGTCATCCTTTTGACAATTGTAATTAGTTTTTTTGTTACCTAATGCAAATTGCACTTCTTAAAAAAAAGGAAAGAAAAGAAATTAACAATAAGCAATTGATCAAAAATCATGTAACTCAGATTTAATTAAGCAACAGTAATAAGAAATTAAGAGTCGTGAGCCTCCGTAGTCCAAGTATTATATGCTCTCACGAGGTCTTTGATGAGAGCACACCTGCAAACTCATCAAATGTCAGATTTAGGAACCCAAACAGGTTTGGATTCCTTCTTATGAAAAGAAGAATGTGATGCATGAGTGTTTTGTAGTAAATTATGCAATGGATTATAATGGTGCAAGTATGTGCTATGTGTCCTAACATGCCACATGAAAAATATCTAACTCGAGTAAAAGGATTTCTTAATTGGTTCGGGTTATAATGCCTCTTCTTAGTTATTGGCTTTGGATCAAATATGGGTGTCATCCAATTTTTCTTAAGTGCATCCAATTCAGCTTTAAACCTCAAGTGAGAATTTTCTAAATTAATCTCCAAACAGGGATTTTTATGCTCATATTCTTTAGTAGAAGCTTTAAAATTAGATTCAAGCGAGGTGTATGAAGCTTTCAAATAATCATGCTGAATTATTAATTCAGAATGCTTTTTATTTAAATCATCAAATTCTTCAAGTAGAGACATGTGATTAGTATCAGCTTGAAAGTGATCTTTACTCAAAATTTAATGCACTTTTTGTAAATTCAAACTCTAATTTCAAACTAGTGTGAGTTTTCTTAAGTTTTTTATATGATGCATGAATTTTCACAAATATTTTAATTAATTGGTCATTTGTTGGTTGGCATACCTCGTCTTGGTTAGATTGTTCAAAATCATCAGCTATTAAGCACAAGTTTTTTGTCTTCTCTTCAGGTTCAGTCTCAGATGAATCAGATGTAGAATCCGCTCTTAAAGCTTTTTGGGCTCTCTTATTATCCTTTCTAAACTTAGGTTTCTTCTCATTCTTTTCTTTGCTTGAGTGATCCTGAAGTGTAGGACAATCAGCTCTGACATGTCCATGCTTCCTGCATTCAAAACAAAAAAATATCAGAAGAACCTTTAAATTTTTTGTTATCCTTACCTTTTCTCCAATTCTGATGATGCTTGTGACTCTTCCTTAGAAAGCTTTTAAATTGCCTCATGATTAAGGCAATATCATCATTTTCAGACCCAGAAGAGTTAGTGTCTGAGTTGTTCGCCTTAAGGGCCACCGTTTTCTCCTTCTTCCTCTCACCTGCATTAAAATTTCTTTGGTTCACCCCTTGCTCATAAGCAATGAGTGAACCATGTAAGTTATCGATTGAATAGGTATTTAAATCTTAAGATTCAAAAATTGCAGTGATTTTAGCATCAAAAGAGGAAGGCAAACATCTTAAATTTTTGTTTACTTTTTCAAAGTTAGAAAGTTCTCTTCCTAAGGCATGTAACGAAGTAACAATCTGAGTAAATCTCGTATACGTATCAAAAATTATTTAATTAGCTTTCATTCAAAAAAATTCATAATCATGCAATAAAATATTCAAATGAGATTGCTTAACTTCATTAGTGTCATCATAGGTGATACATAATTTATCCCAAATTTCATTAACAGTAGTGCAAGTGGAAACACGCATGTAATCTTCAGATTTTAAAGCACAAAAAAAGCAGCTCAAACACTTTGCATTAAGTTGTTCTAAATCTCTTTCATCAAAAGTCCATTCAGTAAAAGGTACTTCAGTTTTAATTCCATTAAGTTCACGAGAAGGTGGAGAATATACTTCTTTAATAAGCATCCATATACGATAGTCAATCGATTATAAAAAAGAAGACATGCGAGTTTTCCAAAAATCAAAAGGAAGATTATCAAACAAAGATGGTCGTGTTATAGAATATCCTTCCATTGCATTACGATTACCGTTGTTAGCCATGGATCAAAATTCAAAAAGTTTTCAAACTTAATTTTTATGAATCCCGCTTTAATACCACTTGAAAGTTCGTTAGGGATGTTAAGCCCTTAAGAACTAGCACAAGGCTAACCAAGAGGGGGGGGGTGAATTGGTATTTTAAAAAATCTTTCTTATAATCAAAGAATAAAACTTAAAACCAAAATTACCACAAAAATCAAAGTGCAGAAAAATAAATGCAGAAATAAAAACAAAGAAAGATCACACCAGATTTATAGTGGTTCGGTCAACTTGACCTAAGTCCACTCCTCAGATGTGCCCTCCGAGTATTGGACTAAAAAAGTGAATCTCTTTTTTCTCCCACAACAAGGTGGAGAAGCCCTCACTAAAACCTCTTTCCGCCAACCTCGGCGAGGTAGAGAACCTAACTCCTTTTGCTTCCTCCTGAAGCAGGCAGAGAACCTCAACTCCTTTTGCTTCCTCCTGAATGAGGCAGAGAACCTCGAATCCTTTTGCTTCCTCCTGAAGCAGACAGAGAACCTCGACCAATTGTTGAAGTTTACCTCCCTTGAACCTCTAAGGACGAAGGATGAAGACTGGAGAAAACGCCTTGAAACCTTGCTTGGAGCAACCTTTGTGAATCCCTCTCACAAACTCCCCCTCACAAGTTCCTCCCTCTCTCTCCCTCTCTCTCCCTCTCCTCTTAGCTCTCTCAGGTCAAGATAGCAGCTAAAGGTCTCTTTGCATGAGGAAATTTGGGTCCTTTAAATAGAATTTCAAGAACCGACATTATCATCGAGGATGATAGGAATATCATCCTCGTCGATCATTACAAAGTAAACTCAATCAGAAGGGATGATTTGGGACGATCAGAAGAAAATTGGTTACATCGTCCAGGCCGATACAATATCGTCCTGGATGATTAGTTCAAATCCGAGTACAATCGTCCTGAACATCACCTGGAATAGATGCTGGCCGATGTCAATCGTCCAGGACATCGTCCCTACCGATCCTACGATCGGCCTGGCCGATATGATCGTACCAATCAGGCTTAATTGCTTTTCATAATTAACAGATTAATTTAGGCATAATTATGCTGCATCGTCCAGACCGATATTGAGATCGTCCTGGCCGATACAAGAATCATCCAGGATGATTTGCTTAATGACGGCTGCTTAACTAGGATGCCCTAATTAGGGTTTTTATTTTTAGTCGGATCGTCCTGGTCGATATGCACATAGTCCAGGCTGATGTACTCAAAATAGAAAAATTCAGAAAACCCCTCAAGTGTGTGTGTGTAAGGTTACTTAGCATCAAAAACCACTTTTACAATTGACTCAAGAAAAAGAAAAACATTAGAGACTGACTCAACATAAATCTACCCAATCTTGAGCTGGCTTGAGTTGCATTCGATCATATGGACCTGAAAAGCTAGTAGGCAATGTAGTTGTAGAAAATCATGAATGATTGATATCATCAAAGTCTAATCCATAAACTTAGATTTCCAACACTAGTGACCCTAAGGGTATTGCTCGGATTGCTTTTTTTGTTCTTACTCTTCTTTTTGAAATAAGAAGTATTACATTCCTAAAAAATATTAGCTTTCTCATTAGGAGATGACATGGACTTGGTATTAGAATCCTTCAAAATGATCTTAGGAATGAAGATTTCAAGAGATCCAACTTCACCTTCCTCCAAGTCCTCATTCTTTTCCTCATTCAACTGATTGTTTTTACAATTGAGCTCGCATTCACTTTCACTTTTTTCCTCAACGACTTGATTAACATCACATTTTATAGCATCATTTTCAAGACAAAGGGAATTTCCATTGTTCTCCTTCATCGCTTGGTTAACCACCAAAACATTAATATGTAGACCATCCTAAATTTTGTCCCCAACATCATTCTCATCTACATCCACTGTAATATGTTCCTCTTCATTGTCACTATTCATATTATTTTCAACATCTTTGTTAGCCTTGTCTAACAAATCTTCCCTCCTTATAGAAATATCTAAATGATATGTCTTTATGTCATCTTCACAAGCTTTTGAATCTTCAAAATGTAGGGCATGTTCCTTATTATTTGGAAGAGTTAGACCTACCTGCACAACCGGTTCACCATTGATTGGTTCAACCACAATTTATCAGGGATTTCCGAATTAGGGTTTCTATTTTTAACCAATCATCTAGTATGATTTTAAATCATCATGTATGATTAGTTCAAAAAAAATCTCTAACTCACTAAATCACTCCCCATTAATGTGTGTGTGCAATGTTACTTAGCTTGGGGTCCACCACATATATGACTTGACTCAAGAAAGGTAAAAAGTACATTGAAGATGAAATTACATACATACTCAACCCTAGTCAACCCGATCTTGAGCTGATTTGAATTGTAATTGAAATTGTGGACCTGAAAAGTTAGTAAGCAGGGCAAACAAAACAAATATGTAAGAATAGTAGCAGTAAAGAAACAATAATATTTTTTATCATCAAAATCACTGTACTTGAGCCCAGATTTGCAACAAACAAAAGATCTAAAACCTAGACAAGGCATAGGCTTTTAATCATAAATAACTTTTAACGAAAAAATATTACCTGTTATCGAAATATTAACTTAATCAGGAAGATTAGACTCTTTAGAAACTAAAAACAAAAAATCAAGCAAAAGTAAGCCAAGGTTGCTCTACTGTTAGAGAATCCACAACAATAGGAATCCAAACCAGACCAACAACAACAACAACAACATCAAGCCTTTATCCCACTACGTGGGGTTGGCTACAAGAATCCTTTTTCTCCATTGTGTCCTATTAAAAGTCAAATTCTCGTTTAAATCTAATAAAGAAAGGTCATTCCTAATATTTTCTAACCAAGTCTATTTAGGTCTATCCCAACCTTTCTTAATATAAGTCAAATCTAATACCTCTACTCTCCTAACCGGGTCATCGCAAGGCCGCCGTTTTATGTGACCAAACCATCTAAGGCGACTTTCTCTAATCCAAACCAGACCAGCAATCTTAAAAATACCCTCATGCGTCTATCATACTAAAGGAAGACCATGAATCTTGATCCAAAGAGGAATATAAGTAAATTCTTAGTGTTTAGGTCGAAATAGAGGGGTTCATTTCTTAATAATGAACGGTTTTCCAAAAAAAAAAACCAAGGACTACCTGAGTAAACTAAATTATAATCTTCAAGGCAAAAAAATTTCCTCAGAAAAAAACCATAATTTAAAACAAGATGAGAAAATACTTTTCAACTTCTAGATCTTAGGAAGAAAAGACTTTAAAGCTTCAAAGTAAGGATGCTTATCCAATGAATATCCTACCAAAGTTAAGCCCGATTTTTCCTGAGGCAGCTGAACATCACGTTTAGAAAAAAGAGCAATATTATGATTAAAAGAAACAAAAGAAATATAAAAATGATTGGGTGAGGATTGACGAGAGGTTAATAATCCATTTTCATAAGTAGAACTTGGATTCAAGTTGATTTTACACGAGAAAAATCATTGGAAGAATTCGTGCATGGCAAGATCTGCAAATTAAGAGCTACTCGAACAACATATACTCCAAAGAACCGCTAGATGAGATCACGGAGAACCGCCTAGAATTGGCAAGAAGCCCTAAACTCTCCTTGGCCTGACTCTCTCCCCGTCCCACTTGCCATCTCACGGTTCCGCGCATGGTTCACCTCGTTCATTAACTAATTCAGCAGCGGCGGATGTTAGAAAAAGAAGTGCCCGCTCAATTAACTATTTGGACGGGGTGAGGGGAAAGAAAAAATAAAAACAAATCAAACTTACAAAACAAAGAAAGCAGAAAGGCATAGCAGAAAGGGAGGTCTCAACTCCCAAAATCACGAGCTTCCATAGCCGGATCCCCTTCACTTTGCTCTACTTACTCTCCCTCTTATCGCTCTCCTATCAGCTTCCGTGCTCTTCAATTTGAGAGAGAGAGAGAGAGAGAGAGAGAGAGAGAGAGAGAGAGAGAGAGAGAGAGGATGGAATCGGGATCAGCTGGCGGAGGAGGAGAAGGGCAGATAAGGGGTGTCCTCACCCATGGCGGCCGCTACGTTCAGTACAATGTCTACGGAAACCTGTTTGAGGTTTCTACTAAGTACGTTCCTCCGATTCGGCCTATAGGCCGTGGCGCCTACGGCATCGTGTGGTGAGTTCTAGTTGAGAACCCATCTTTCTTTCAGTGGCAGTGGCTGTGGTCATAGATAAATGGGAATTGCGGTTTCTGGTTGTGGCTTCTCTATTGGGGGTGGGATGATTTTATCTCCACGGTTTTGTGACTAATTACACCCATTGATTATTTCTTTGTTGACTTTTGGCAACTGATCTTACATATTCATTAGAAGTTACAATTTTCTTTTATGTCTTGAATTTGTCCTTGTAGTTGTTCCTTCTATTTCCTAGTTACTTGGGCACCATTCTTTTGTGCTATATCTGAACGGTTGTGGATAACCCTGACCTTCTGATTTCAAGGGAATAACTGCGTCGGTTTTCTTGATCAATTTGAAAATGTTTTTGTTTTTTTTACATGGCGGGAAGAAGAACTAATGCATCATGGTAATGTACAGCATCTTGTGATGTATTAAGAGTGGAAGCAGGTACATAATAGGTTGTGAATGTTTCATTTTAACTCTTTTTGTGATAATTAGGCTTCGTTTGTTTTTTTAGTGTTTTTGTAAAAGACAATTTTAAAAAACATTAGTTTAGAAAATGGAGTTTTCTAAAGGAGAAGCATATATAAAAAGCTTTCTCAAAACTGCAGAAAAATGAAAAAAAGGAGTTATTGGGAACGTGATTTGACGAACCAAACAACACAAAAAAAATTCCTCCGTTTTTGAAAACGGAAAAGGCAAAAAAACGCTCAAACAAACAAAGCCTTAATCACAGCTGTCCGAGCTGTTGGTTAACTATAGTGTAGGCGATATTTTTCAAGGGATGAAATTGTTACATATTGTGAGCATCTTCATATGGAAACCCTGATTCCTGACATTGAAGCATGAATTTTGTTTTTTTTTTTTAAACTTTTCAGAGAACCTATTTTTAATTTTATCGAATTGCCATTGTTTCTATTTGTTTGGTAGGATGCTTTTTAAGCCAACCCCAAAGGTGCAAGAGCTTTCTTTATTTTTAATCAAGACTTGAAAGCTGCGAGCCACCCTCTCTGTACCATTAATAGTAAATGTAAGATAGACTACTCTTATTTTCATACGAGAATGGCGATTCTCTTTTGATTGTAACTACTAAATTTGTCTTGAATGCTTGTTTTATGAATTTCCATTATCTTTAGCAAACTAGTAGCATTATCATTTCGGTGTACTCTTTTAATCAATTCAACGTTTATTTTGTTCTTTAAATATTGATGATTAGGGCAAGAAATGTTTGATGAGTGATTTTTGAATCTATTTAGTTTATAGCTTTCCTAATCAGCTTGATTTAAATGGCTTGCTATGGTTAGAGAATGTTTGATGCCCTTGATTTGAAAATCATGGTTAAAACTTATGTTTAAAAGCATTCATAGGCCATCCAATCTTTTGTTTCATTAAAACTTTCTTGATGCTTAGTTAAGTGTTGCCTAAATTTATAATTCATTTTGATTTAAGTAAATCAAACTTAACTCCAATTTTAATTTATTTTCATAATGCTAGCATCAATTTTAATTTATTTTCAAAAATATCTTTGAGAGTAAGATTCACAATCTTAAAATTTTGTTGGTGCATGAGGAAGGAAATATTATGTAGGAAATAGTAGCCTGTAATATTAAGAATATTGCAAAGGATGTACTTGGAGTATCAAAAGAAAAAAATTTTAACAATAAAAATAGTTGGTGTAATCAAAATGTGCAAGAAAAGATAAAAAATAAGAAGCTCTGTTATAAAAATTGTTTAGATGTAAATATTTTGAAAATTGGGAAAGATATAAAGTTGCCCGTAAAGCATTCTACGATACAAAGATTTTAGCTTTTAATGATTTATATAATAGATTAGATATTAAAGAGGGCAAAAGATATATATATATATATATATAAGCTAGCCAAACAAATGGATAGGAGTAGTAAAGATTTAGTTCAAGTGAAGTGTATTAAGGATGAAGATTAAAAAATATTTTTTTATAAAAGGATATTCAATCAAGGTGGATGAGATATTTTACTAAACTTTTCAATGAAGATTGTAAATATACGATTGACTTTAGTGATCTTAACACTCTAAATGAAAATAGAGATTTTTTTTTATCAACGTATTATTAAAACTGAAGTTAGAGCCGAATTTAAAGAAAATGAAGTGTGGGAAAACTGTTGGACTTGGTGATATTCCAATAGAGGTGTGGAAATGCTTAGGAGATGAAGGAATTTCTTGGCTTACTAAACTGTTTAATATTATTTTGAAGACTCAAAAGAGGTCACATGTGTGGAGAATGAGTGCGTTGATTCATATCTTTAAGAATAAAGGTGACGCACAAGATTGTGTAAATTATAGAGGAATTGTGTTGATATGTCATACTTTAAAACTATGGGATAGAGTTATGAAGCATTTGTTACAATGTGATACTAATGTTTCTCAAAATCAATTTGGATTCATGCCGGGTAGGTCTACTATGGAAGTCATACATTTATTGAGAGATTTGATGGACAAGTATAGATAGAAAAAGGAAGATCTTCATATGATATTTATTAATTTAGAGAAAGCATATGATAAAGTTCCAAGAGAAGTTCTATGAAAAGTTCTAAAAAACAAAGGGATTAATAATGCTTATATTCAGGTCATTAGGGATATGTATGCTGGAGCTGTTACTTGTGTTCAAATACAAGGTGGTTTGACCAAGTATTTTTCAATTTCAGTTGGATTACGTCAAGGATCAGCCTTAACTCCTTCTCTTTTTGCTTTAGTCATGGATGTCCTTACTAGAGATTTGCAAGAGGATGTTCCCTGGTGTATGCTTTTTGCTGACGATTTTCTTCTTATTGATAAGACTAAAGAGGAAGTTAAAGGTAAACTTGAATTATGGAGGTCAACCTTAGAGTCTAAAGGTTTTAGTTTGAGTAGATCTAAAACCGAATACATGGAGTGTAATTTTAGTAGTAATTAATCTAGTGGGGGGTTCGTAACTTTGAGCGATCAAGTCATTAATAAGAGTTCACGTTTTAGATATCTTGGGTCTATTGTTCAGAGTGATGGTGAAATAGATGGGGATATTATTAATTGAATGATGAAGCGGAGGAATGCATCGGGCTTGTTGTGTGATAGAAAAGTACACTCATACTTAAGGAAACAAATTATAAGATGGTGGTTAGCCTTGCAATGCTTTATGGTGCTGAATGTTGGCCATTAAAAGGAAGCATAATATTAAGTTAAGTGTGACAGTGATGAGGATGCTTAGGTGGATGAGTGGCTTTACTCTTAGAGATTTGATACCAAATGATCATATACGTGAAAAGGTTGGAGTAGCTCCAGTGACAGATAAGATTGGAGAATGTTGCCTTAGAAGGTTTGATCATATAAAACAGGCGGCCTTCAGATTGTAATGCTACATCAAATAGTTGGGCTACAACTAATGTTGATGATGATGATATTAAATTAATCATATAGTCTTGTGTTCATACTTGTCAACGACGAATGGTGCACCTCGGTGCAAAGTTTTCGGTGAAGTCATGACACATAGCGCACGGCATGACGCAAACCATTTTAAACATAGTGCACAATGTAAAATAATTAAAATATAGATATATATTAAAATTAAATATCATTAAATAGCAAACAATATATTGATTAGAGCAAAATTTAAGCATAAATATCCTATCAAACAACAAAAATGACAATTTTAAATTATACAGAAACTTAAATCAATAGATTTGAGTAGAATTTAACATAATTTAGCCTAAATCCCACCAAATAGCAAAAATGATAGCTTTAATCCTACAAAATGTTAAATATTATAAATTTTTTGATATTTCATTAATTTGATGTTTAATTAAGTTATAATTAATTGTGATATTAATATATAAATCTTGAAAATTATAATTATAATTTATAATTTGAGATTTATAACATGTTAATAAAATAGTGCGCGCCATTTGTGCCGTTCACCATTGCCCATGTATATCGCAAATAGTGCGCGCAATTTTGATGCGCTACGCCGTGCCAACCAAATAGCGCATATGTGTGCCGCGTCTTGTGCTCCCATGACGCACGCCATTTTACGCCATTGACATGTATGCTTATGTTTAAAGGTCTTAAAATGTATAATTATAGAGAAAAATCTTGCCCATATGCTTCTTCTAAATAATTTGTTGTGTTTGATTGCTTATGCATAAGTTTATATTTTTAATTGTTTTTTCATTCTTTGGAGACGTGAAAGGATCCTGCTTACCTAGTTTTGAAAGTTAATTTGTTAGATTATTGCTGTGTTATGTTGAAGTTTTCTTTAGTTCCTTAATGTGAGAGTTGAAACCAGGGGCGCTGTGTGCTCATAAATTTCCTTTAGCAATTTCTATGATTGTGCATCTAATATGAGCCTAGTCTAATTTATATTCTACTAGATATTAGATTGGGATCCTAATTTTTGTGGAATTTATGAACTGTAATTAGGCTAGCTATATTGAATGGATCTAAGAGTTGGTTGGCCAAAAAAAAAAAAAAATCAATATTCAAATTATCTGTGTCAGAAATATAAAGTTGTTGTCGAATGTGTATCAAAACTAGAAAAGATTGATTGGGGATGGATTAATTCCCTGCCGGGGGGGGATGCAACATATCAAAAAATCTATTAAAAAAGAGAGTAAAAAAATAGACTATAAGGTAGTTTGAACATATACAACGAAAGCTAACAAATGCACTTAAAAATGAGTGCTTAAAATTAGTGTCAAATAATAGAATGGGTGTATAAAATTAGTGTCTAAGAAAAATCATTTGACCAAAAGTTACATGAATAGATGTTGTGCAATATGTGTAGAATATGTCTAACACATGAAACTCTTAGGTGAAGAAATGAAAAATAAGGATTCATATGATTAATCCCGAATAGTTGGGATTAGGTTAATGGTGATGATGAAGATTTATTGATTTCTTTCTTTATGTTGGACCTCTTAGTCCTATTGCGTTCCTATTGTTTTTGGGGCTGTTCGCACTTCTAGCTTGTAATGGATTAACTGTTTTT